AGCCACTATGTGGGTTTCTAATTTGTTTTTGGGAACTTGCTATTTTATTCCATTTTATTTTATTTTAAGTTATTTTATTTTATTTTATTTTATTTTATTTTATTTGTTTAGTCTACTTAAGTATTGCATGATTTTAAAGTTTAATTGCTTACCTATTAGTAATAAGAATTGCTTTGTCAATGAAATATGTGTATTTTGAGACAATAAAGCTTATTGAGATTGAGATATTACAGTAATATTATTGCAGGTTGGAACAAACCTAATATCGATATCCATAATTTTGTGGTTTTGTTTATACACAGACTTTTCGGCACTTTACGCCATCTTTGTTGTGCCCTGACATTGGCACGAGCTCTCTGACCTCGTGCTGGAAAAGTTGCACGAGGGCAATAATTGATTGCCCTGGTTTTCCAATAGAACATAAAAACCCGCTCGGAAACTGCCAACAGAACATAATTTTTGCATGAGTGCAGCACCAGTTTTACCAACAGAAAATGCTATAAGTATGTGCGAATCTTTTATTCCATTATAACTTAAAAATTTACAACTCCATTGGTCGCGATCCATTGGTCGCCGCAACCCAAAACAACAACAAAACAAATAACGGTGAAAAATGTGGAAATCAACCAAATTAAATACAATGAAGTATGACGTTTGACGACAAGGTGAAGCCGGCGTCACACGATGTGTCGAATGCCTTCCAACGTTGGACACATAGCGATTTGGAGCATCGTGTAGCCGTGCGCTCATCGGATACATTTTCCCAATTTGCCGAATGCTAAAGCAAAAAACACTGTACCCATCGTTGGATCTAACGTTGGGGCCAATGGTTGGACACATCGTGTGGCGCCGGCTTAACTCAAAATCATACTACGTGAAGTCATCCAGATTCGCGCGTATTTAAGGTCGTTTGAAATGCTTTTAATTCGCGCAAAACTTTAAACATTTTTCACCAAGTTATTATTGAGTTTTAGGGTATAATATTTGGGGAATACTTTTTCAAGGCATAAATAAATGATTCAAAAAAATTAAAAAAAAATTGTAAAGTTCCCTATTATAGGGTTAGTTTGGGTTAGCAAAATACATAAGTATATTTTTAGGTGGGTTTTCCGATGGGTTGAAGCGCAAAATGCGTTAAAGCTTACCAATGCACGGCCCTTTTTTTTCTCAGTGATAAAAAATTGGTCTACCTAATGAGAAGTATACCTACTGAAGTTACGTAAAAAAAAAGTCCGGCTAATCTGTGAGTATGGATAATATGTCTGGCAAGTGAAAAATTGAATATCCGAAAATTTTCAGCCAGACTCACTTTCACTATCTGAAATAAGCCAAATTGCTATTTTCATATACTTTATGTTCTATAGGGTTGTGGTTCTATTGTAGTAAATGTGAAATATTTATGTCTGGGAAAATAAGCGTACTTGTATTTTTCATTGATCTTGTGAACCCAGCCGAAAATTTTCGCCAGACTCAGAAATTCTTGCTTTGTATCACCAGAAGAACAAACTATTCAATAGACACCAACTGGGAAAATAAGTGCTAAAAAATTTCACTGCCTCCTGGACTATAATTAAAATCTGTATCATAATGAACTTCATTGTGAAACAGATTTAAATTGTTTAATGAGCGTATTATGAAGCGTCAGTAGAAAAAAACAGTTATGTTTGTGTGTAAAGTGATGCACAATAAAAGTGAAACTTCTTCCTCAAGAATTATTAGTAGGTATTTATTTTTGAAGCAAACTGCTGGACAATTGCTTTCGAACAGAAGGAAAATTTCGCCCAACTTTCAAGCTTAATATTTTTGAAATCAGACCAAATATCGACCTCCGGTTTTCACGGGCCAACAGATTGACTTTTTGTGAAAAAAATTGTGCATGGAAACCAGAGGTTGATGTTTTGGTTCCAAAAATATCGAACTTGAAAGTTAGGCAAAATTTTTCTTCAGTTCGAAATCAATTGTCCAGCAGTTTATATGTTACAAGAAATTAGTTATTGAATTTGATAAAAAGATAAATCAATATCATGTTAATTTTGAGCAGTCATTTCATTTCTATCTTTTCCCTGACGTATCCCAATCAAACGTGTACGTTTCCCCTCTTTGGTTGCCGCTGACGCACTGTTCATACTCCCCCTACGCGATCGTGATTTTCATAACGCTCGAAAATTGTTGCCCCCTCAACAAAAAAGTTTCACTTCAAAAAGTTGATGTTGATTGATAGAAAACGAAACGTAAGATTTAAAATGCGCAGCATCATTGAGTGGAAGGAAATACCTGCCCAAATAGAGTAAACTCATTTGCGGAATCTGAATTACTCATTCTTTAATATGTGTGTGCAGTTTTTGCACTTGCACTTCAAATATTTTGAAAATCTTTTTGGGAAAAAAATTATAAACTTCTGAAATAACAATAATAAAATTCTCCTTGGAAATATCACGTTTTGGTCTCGAAATTCGAGGAGATCTTGATGTCTCGGCTCTGCTCCCGTTTTGATATCCAGATCAGGACTAGTCTAAGTCTTATGGTCTCAACTAGTCTCAAGATTCAAGAAGCCCTAATCCCAATACAACAGAATTAATCGAAGTGATCCAGGAGAACAGAGGAATAAAAGTAATAAGGCAAACTAATAGCATGGGATGTTTAGAAAAAGCAAATGTAATAGTCTACCAAGTGAGATAAAAAATTCAAGTAGCTTAAATATATTTAAAAGATCATTAAGTCTGTTTTTGGCTGATAATTAGTTATATTTATATCTGGCAGATAATAATTATTATTCAATGCAAAAGTTGACAGTTGAGTATTGGATTGTAGCTTCCACTTGAGTACCTATACCTACTTCAAAACTTGTTAAGTAGCTAAGTTTTTATTTTTATTTTTAGATTTTAGGTGGGTTTTTGTTTTCTTTCTTTCTTTCTTATGGCATATAAATAATGATTGTATTTTTCGGATTGTAGATCATTGAATTGTAACTTCCACTACATGCACTGTAATTTTTTTAAAGATTTGTTACCTTGATACCAGTGTTCCACACTGTTTTAGGTATAGAGCTATTAAGATAATTTATAAATTGTATACTTGTTGTCAATAAACGATTTTCAAAAAAAAAAAAAAAACTGGAAAAAATTAACAACAAAAAAGAAAACAGGCAATTTACAAGAAATTTTAAAACACTATTTGTTTTTAAATTATCATTATCACGAAAGCCTAAATGCAGGGATTTCGAGGTGATATGGGTGCCCACACTTCTCACCTCTTAAATGGAAATAAGATTTGTTTTTTTTTTTATTCAAAACCGAATAGAATTTGCCAGCTATAGTTGAGATATCTTATCCATAAGAAGGAAGTACGGGAAGTGCCTTTTGCTACTAACCTATTGAATTTTTCAGAAGGCATGAATTTGAAATACCTACTGTGGGGAAGTTGCAACCTGCCACTGTGCACAGGGCGCTTATTTGACTTCATTCAATTCCCACGAAAGCAAATATGTATCCTATCATTCGTATCGTATCGGCCGTAACTCTCTTTTCTCCTCGTCACGTTCGTGACAACGCGCAGTTCTAGCTTTTGACTCTGACTATCCAATTCTGTGATAACAAATCTAAGTAGAATGTGGAATGTATCAAGTGTTTTATTCAGTCTTCAAGATACATACTTACTATAAAAATCTATGTTTTTCCTGTCCTAACCCAATTTAAAAACAGATGAATCGTATACATGGATTCAGGCATAATTTAGGTAGGAATGACTCCAAATCAAAACAAGAATGAGGAGCTTTTATTGGAAATTGGAACATATTATGAAAAAATTGATAAAAACGTTGAATCATTATTAATAAAAAAATTATCTAATTATTCTCTTGAAAGATTTATGTAGTAATGTATTATTAAGTTAACTAGACTTACCTACCATGATTTGGAATTGAAATGATAATTAGATTAAGATTAAGATTGATACAGAAAAATGAAGTCCGCAAATCTGATATGGAACTAATACTGGCTAGAGTTGATAGGTGATATACGGTTTACGAGCTCGAGAAAATGAACGTGTTCTCAATAAAATTTGTTTCAGATGATTCGCAACACTAAAACTAGTAAAATACTTCGAAGAAAACTTGAATGGTTTTTTTTTAAAACAGAAAGAATTTACCAGTATACCTTAGTAGCCTTGAGCTTAGATGTAAATAAATAAACCTACCTATTCAAATCAACATTTGATTTACATAGCAATAATTAATTTGTTACTTCAATTATTTACCTGGTGGCATCAGCATCAACAAAATAGAGTGTAGATTTAACACAAAATTCAATGGCAAGAAAACAATAATGGTCTAGGAGCGTAGCTAAGACTGGTCTTTGGAGTAGAGTATATGATTAATTAAATAAACTATTCAGGTTTGTTTGCGGTACGTCGTACATCAATATTTAGATCCTTGAACTGTAGTCGACCAAAGCCAAGGTCAAATTGCTCCTTTGGCTTGGATGATTTAACAGTTGGGTGTGTGGTTACTGGTTAGGTTTGCAGAAAAATCTAAATATATAAAATGATACAGTTTAAATAGTTGATTTGTATTAGTTAACCTACTTACCCTAATTGCATGTAGGTAGCCTCCAACCTCCAACAAAAATACTTATAATCAGCAAAAGTTAAGTAAACTTGAATGCTTCCGAAAATAATTAATATTCAATTGTGGAATTGTGTAAAGATAAGATAAAAGATCAAAGCACCCATAAGCAACTAGTGATATAAATACTTGAATTTAAAGTGGAAAAACGCACATAGACAAATGAAATAGAATAAAGACAAAGCGATTTTGTCGCAACTAACAATCTCTTTCTTATAGAACTTAAGCAGGATAGACTCTCAGTTAGGCGACATCAGATTCATCAATAGAAAACAAAAGGCTATTCTTAGATCTGTCTGACATCCCCGAGATACATTATACCTATAATTACAGAAATATTTGATCAATGATACAACAGTCAGGTATAAAAACGCATTCGTTAACATAATAACATTTATTTTAGAAAACTTTTGAGACAGTTTAAACAAAATATATTATAAAATATAAAAAATTACGTAACTTGCCATTACCTACACACTTCCATTACAAAACACCCTGTTACTTGAATCAGTTAGCATTCTAAGTACCTACCTAAATAAAGTTGATTATAAATTTATATTGTAAATTTGTTAGTCTTTATGGCACAAGATTTACCAAAACAAGTTAATAATACAATAATGTAGAAGGTACCTATAGCTACAAAAGACATCACATTCATGGTATAATAATTGAAGAAAATCAAGCTTATGTGCGTTATATTTATACAGAAATCAATTTTGAAAAAAAAAAAAATACATATTGTCATTATTGTTTATGAGCTTAAGCTTAATATGTATTTAGAAATATCCTATATTATTAGACATCTACTTAATCTTGATATTTTCATGTATACCTACGTATAATAGAATCTCAATGTTTTAATTTTCTGATATTATGTTTTTTTAAATTTGGTAGCCTTTAATAAAAGGAATTCCTGTTCCAACTATCTTCTGATAATCCACATACTGTTGTCCGAAAAAATTTAGCAAAGTAATTTCCTCAATATAAATCCTGCTTTTAAAGAACGACCATGAGGCAAAAATGTAAGCTGGTAAGCAAATAGGATTGACAAGGATTAGCTATAAAAAAAAAATATTTAAGTAAATTAATTGAATAATTTTATATACTCTTTTAAAGAATTCTCACCTGAGTCCCAATAGCCCAGTAAAACCATCCCACATAGCTTGGATGACGAAATAATGAATATATACCACCAGTGACGAGTACATGGTCTTTTGCCTTTTCACATTGTACCAAATGATTGAAATTCCCTCTAGCAGTAAGCATCGCTAGTTTTCTCAAGCACTCTCCAGCAATGCAAAGAGCCAATCCAATATAAGACACATAACAAAAATATTGCTTCAATCCTATAAAATAAAAACACAAACAATATTTTAAAAGTAGTATTGATGTAGAAGTAAAAGCATTGAGACGTATGCATGAGTCGTATCATTCATGAGTAGTAATTAATGCTTTTAGGTACCAAGAGATTATGAAGCAAATATGCACTTCATTTTCTATGCATAAAAATTCAAGAAATTACTAGTAAGGAGACAAGATAAGAAGAATACATACACTATTTAGGTAATCCACTACTGAATAGTAAGTTAACTCCTAGTATCAGAAGTTAGAAATCTAGTCAAATTTCATGCCAATAAAACCAGTTAGTCCGGGGGCCGAGGACCTTTTTTCCAAATCATTAATAAAAAGCTAGTTTTTTCAATGCAGCTTCATTTCACCGAGACGCCCAAGCAACTTTTTTCTCTTCGAAAATTGCGAAAACAGGTAGCTAACATACTGCGCAGGTGTAAAACATGTCGATTTGGTGACTATGAAAATTTAATTAATAGCAGTTAGCTTTCCAGCTAAATGTTGAGATAATTTTATGAATAATTTGAAACAACATTTGTCCGACAAAATAAAGGGTATGGTCTACGATGTCCCCCCTCAAACATGTAGCAATTACGTTGCATAAAAAATGATTAATAACAAGTTGATTTTTTCAATGTAGGTTGGTAAATATTATTACAATTAAATGGTCACACTGTCCTACAAATAAACAGGTAGCTATTTTCAGTCCTACACTCAAAAGTTGTCGATTTCACGGTTTACCTTTTTTCATTAATAACCGACTAAATCTTCGTGAGAATCTTCATTTTGATAAGACGCCCAAATTTTCTGTTGCGAAAATTCCAAAAACAGGTAGCTAACAGAGTGCGCAGGTGGAAAACATGTCTATTTGGTGATCATACAAATGTAAATAATAACAGTTAATTTTGTAGCTGAAGAGATAGTTTCATAAATAATATGAAACAACATTTGTCCGACAAAATAAATGGTTTGATCTAGGCTGTCTCCCTTTTCAAACATGTAGCAGATACGTTACATAAAAAATGATTTATAACCAGTTGATTTTTTTAATGTAGCTTAGTAAATATTACTACAATTAAATGGTAACACTGTCCTACAAATAAAGAGGTACATTTCTCCAGTCCTACACTCAAAAGTTGTCGACTTCACGGTAATACTTTATTCATCAATCACCGGCTAAATCTTCTCGAGCATCTTCGTATTGATAATACGCCTAACTTTTCTATTGCGAAAAGTTGCAAAAGTAGTAGCTACTAGGGTGAGCATTAGTGAGCACATGTAAAATACTTTGATTAGGTGATTATGCAAATGTAATTATCAACAGTTAACAGTTAATTTTTCAGGTAAATAATGAGATAATTTTATAATTAATTCGAAAATCGATTTTAGCCACAAAATAAATGGTTTGGTCTGCAGTGTCCCCTTTCTCAAAAATGTAGCAATTACTGGCTCATAAAAAACGATTTATAACCAGTTGATTTTTTTACTGTAGTTTGGTAAATATAACTACAATTGAATGGTCACATTGTCCTAAAGAGGTAAGATTTCTCAGCCCTACATTCGAGAATTTCGAAAATAGCCTTATGCATATTATACGTAAATATGTACAGGGCTTTCATTTCAAAACTTGCCACTCAAGTTATCTGCGTAAAGAGACAGATTTCTAGAAATCGCCGAAACACGTCAACAAATTTATTGAGGGGTACGTTAATTTGTTGACGTGTTCCGGCGATTTCCAGAAATCTGTCTCTTTAGGCAGATAACGTGGGTGGCAAATTTCGAAATGAAAGCCCCTGTATGTACATATGTACGTAAACAGATGCGTGTATAACAGTATATGTGTTATATGTGTATGTACACATACCTACATTTATGTCGATGGTTTCCATTCGCATCGACGCGCATGCTCGTAAATAACACAGTATCGTAGTATAGGGTGATTCAAAAAGCGCGCCAGATTTGAAATGCTCGAAAAAGAGTTTTGGCATGCCATCAAAGTAGAGGGGGCCATGCCCTTTGTCATTCTCCATACCCAGATGGAGAAGGTTTGATCCTACCGGCTCCTTTTTTAATGTATTAAATCTGGCGCGCTTTTTTGCTGTATATAGGGTGAATACAGGGTGTTTTCTAAGTTAGAGTTTTTCTTTTTAAATAACGTGGAACTTAAAAAAATACAGGAGTTTTCCAAATAATAGTTTCTCGACAGCTCAAAAATAAAAGAGATAGGTAAAATGTGTTTTTTTTTTAAGATAAAAGTCAAAGTGACATTATGTTGGCAATACAATGTAAAATTGTCAATGCTTTCAAATTTTTATGTAGAAAAGGCTTGTGTTGTCAACATAGTTACTAAATTTTTGACTTGGGGAATTATCTTTAAAAAAAAAAAACAGACTTTATATTCATTTCAAATAATATCAAAAATCAAATATTTTAATAATTATATTTTTCAAAATACAAAAGGTAAAATTCTTGAATTTTATCTTTTTTTCCAGAAATCTGTCTCTTTACGCAACTAACGTGGGTGGTAAGTTTTGAAATGAAAGCCCTGTACATATTTACTTATAATATGCATAAGGCTATTTTCGAAATTCTCGAATGTAGGGCTGAGAAATCTTACCTCTTTAGGACAATGTGACCATTCAATTGTAGTTATATTTACCAAACTACAGTAAAAAAATCAACTGGTCATAAATCGTTTTTTATGAGCCAGTAATTGCTACATTTTTGAGAAAGGGAACACTGAAGACCAAACCATTTATTTTGTGGCTCAAACCGAATTTTGAATTATTTATAAAATTATCTCATTATTCACCTGAAAAATTAACTGTTAACTGTTAATAATTACATTTACATAATCACCTAATCAAGGTATTTTACATGTGCTCACTAGTGTTCACTCTAGTAGCTACTACTTTTGCATCTTTTCGCAATAGGAAAGTTAGGCGTATTATCAATACGAAGATGCTCGAGAAGATTAAGCGGGTGTCCGGTGATTGATGAATAAAGTATTACCGTGAAGTCGACAACTTTTGAGTGTAGGACTGGAGAAATGTACCTCTTTATTTGTAGGTCAGTGTTACCATTTAATTGTAGTAATATTTACTAAGTTACATTAAAAAAATCAACTGGTATAAATCATTTTTTATGTTACGTATCTGCTACATGTTTGAAAAGGGAGACAGGCTAGATCAAACCATTTATTTTGTCGGACAAATGTTGTTTCATATGAAACTATCTCAACATTCAGCTACAAAATTAACTGTTATTATTTACATTTGTATGATCACCAAATAGACATGTTTTCCACCTGCGCACTCTGTTAGCTACCTGTTTTTGGAATTTTCGCAACAGAAAATTTGGGCGTCTTATCAAAATGAAGATACTCACGAAGATTTAGCCGGTTATTAATGAAAAAAGTTAAATCGTGAAATCGACAACTTTTGAGTGTAGGACTGAAAATAGCTACCTGTTTATTTGTAGGACAGTGTGACCATTTAATTGTAATAATATTTACCAACCTACATTGAAAAAATCAACTTGTTATTAATCATTTTTTATGCAACGTAATTGCTACATGTTTGAGGGGGGGACATCGTAGACCAAACCCTTTATTTTGTCGGACAAATGTTGTTTCAAATTATTCATAAAATTATCTCAACATTTAGCTGAAAAACTAACTGTTATTAATTAAATTTTCATAGTCACCAAATCGACATGTTTTACACCTGCGCAGTATGTTAGCTACCTGTTTTCGCAATTTTCGAAGAGAAAAAAGTTGGGCGTCTCGGTGAAATGAAGCTGCATTGAAAAAACTAGCTTGTTATTAATGATTTGGAAAAAAGGTCCTCGAGTTAACAACTCGAATTTGGAGAGTTAGTTTTTAAATTTTTTTATTTTCAATGGTGGTTACAATTCAACTGACTTAAACCTAAGTAAAATTAATATTTATAATTATTAGCTTTGCTGACAAAGCTGTTCCCAAGAAATGCAACTGTCGGACTAGTTCTGAAAACAAAGTAACAAACTGCTGAACTCTTAAGTTTATGAGAATGTAACTCCTCCCGTGTAAGTTGAAAGCACGTACTGAAAAATAAAAAACGTGATTTCACAAAAATACAAAAATAATTAAAAAATGCCTTCAACTTCATCACTTTCACTTTTTGGGAACTTTCGAATTTTCTTAATGCACAATAAGCTGAAAAAGTAAATTAAAATTAATATAATGATTAAGTATAATAATATTGTCCAGAGACTGAGGCGATTTGAATAAATCGTCGTGGTTGACATTTCTTCAAGTTTCTTCTTTTGTTCATGAAGTTTTTCTTTTATGTCTTTGGATGTCTTGACGTTAATGATGTTCAAATCCAATGAAGGTAGGTCGTAGGGCATTGATTGGTTATGGTTAATCAATGATAGGTCCAATATCGGTAAATTGACTTCTTTAAAAGAGAGTCGACTTGGCTTGAAGCTCTCGAGGGTGGTTGATTGTATTTTGGCTTTACAATCAACGGGCACTTCTAGTAGGTAGGATCCGAAGATGGGTACGGTTTCCTTTAGGTTTTGACAGTTCGTTGAACTTTTAAGTGGAATAGGAACTGTAACGAGCCATTTTCCATCAATAATTTTGGTTATTTGCGGTGCGTGCAATTGAACTTCAAAAGGATGACAATATGTGATGTTTGTACTGCATTTAATCAGCTGTACTTCGCATGGAAGGTAGTTTTCGATAAAGGTAGTACGGGCTTCTTGATATAGGTATTCATCAGGCGAGATTTCTTCACAACGTTGGTCCATATAGGAGTATTTGACGTCACTTAGTGCTAGGTATGGCTTATGTGGGATGTTGACGAAAAAGGTTTGATTATGGTTTGTTGGGATAGGTAATGGATGTAGATTGAAGTATTGATACACATCCGCTTCTACAAGTGGGAGTTCCAATATAAATATGACATTAAAATCTTTTAAGAAACATTTAATTTGTAGAAATTTCTCGAAA